CTGTGTATTTTAAAAAAAGGATGTACAAATAGAGCTCTAGATGGCAGACTACAGAGCATTTGCCTAGACTGACCCATTGCCTTTGGGAAAGGAAGAGAGGAAATTGAAGGAAGGAACAACCTGTAATTTACCAAGGGAGAGTAGTAAACTTAACGAAAGCTTGTACAGGCACAGCTTGGCTCTGTGCTAGTTTGAAGGTTGAGTTAAGTGCAATGCAGAAGTTTGGCACATAGGGAAAGGTTACAAACTGATAATGTAACTGCGCTAGAAATCCAAAGGCCTAGAGAAATGGGGGTATATAAATTCAATTGATTAATACATTTGGAATAAAATGAAAGTACTTGATCGTTATAAACATCCATCTCTGGTTCATAGGTTTCCACTCCAAAAAAAATTAGCCTTCCTTACCCGGTATAACCTACAAATGACCCACAACAATGTGGTTGACTTTTAACTGTCCTCTGAAATAACCTGCTGGACAATAAGTTTTATCAAACTGATCCAGAAAAAAATAAATCTGAACTGAACACCCAGCATAGACTTTAGGAATAAAAAAACAAACTGGAAATGATCAGGCTTACTCATGATTCAAGCTGATAGTAATACTGGACAATTACCGGGAGCAAAACCTGCCTTGATCGACCATGTATTTTAGTTTTAGTTTTTGTTCATTCTCTGTTGGTCAGTCACTGAATGCACAAGATACTGGCAGTATGCTCAAGACAAAAGACAAAAGTTTATTATTCGAGTGAAGGGGAAAAAAAAAACTATTTTACAGCATACAAGAACTATCCAAAGCTGTGTCTGTACAACATTGGAAACAAAAATGCAACCCTTTTGTCCTCGCAAACAACCTTCCAGATATTCCAACCTAAGTGAAAGATCAGAGACAAAGGCAGAAATTGTAGGAAAGGGTCAGCAGGCCTGGCACCACCTGTGGATAGAAATCAGAGTTACCGTTTTGGGTGGAGGGACCCTTCCCCAGAACTTCTCAGAACCCCAGTTCAGGAAGGGTCACTCGACCAGAAACATTAATTCTGATTTCTCTCCACAGATGCTGCCAGACCTGCTGAGCTTTTCTAGCAATTTCTGTTTTTGCCTCTGATTTATGGCATCTGCAGTTCTTTTGATTTTTATTTAGTGAAAGATCACCCCTATATCTATAGTAAAAATCCTTGTTCAGCTGGTATGGCTGTAATCTGTTTCTTTTTGGAAAACGTTTGCATTAACTGAAGAAAATAGCATGGAGTTGATGTCTCTTCCTGAGACCCTTAAGCTGCTAACTCAGCTCACTACTTAACGTGTTCCTTAAACTCAAGTCTTCAACACCCTTGCCAGAATGCCTTCCTCTGTCACCTCGACAGATTTGCGCTGCTGAAGCATTTCCTTTATAGATTTCTAAGCCACTCAGGACTTATTTTCAATCCACTTTTTTTTTGGGACCTCTTCTCTTTCAATGAGCCTGCATGCTGGCTGATCTGTTCTGGATTGTTCTGACTTGTGTTACTAGAGTCCTGTTACTAGGAAACAGCGGCTTTTTCTTATTCTATCCTGTTTTTGCCTAATTCACCAAACTGTTGGCCTCAAGTCAATTTGTACACAAGTCAGAACACAATATAGGACAATGTAAAGCAGCCATTCATAAGTACAGGAAATGTATGTTCTTGTGTTAGGTCCTTAAAATTCTATTTCTGTATGGGATCGGGTTATAAGAGGAAGTATTTCTAAGTCGGGAGTACTCTGTATGAGTAATGTTTGGATAAAATACTTCGTCAAGAGATTGTGATGTGTCATTAACTAATTCAAATTGATCTACATTTTTCACATGAAGCAAAGTGTGAACTCAACAAGAAGTGAAAATAAATGCAGTGAGGGATTGGGTCAGGTAGGGTCTTGAAAGACCAGAAGTAGTGGGAATTTTGAAGGTTTTATTTATTTTTGAAGATGAGTCAGGAAAATTGTTGAAGTGGGTATGATAATACTGAATGACAGAATGAGGAAATTAGATAATAGACAATCTGAAGAGAAAATTGTTAATTTCTTGGAAGGTAGCACACTCAGTGTTCACTGCTTGCTATGACTGTTTGTTTATTGTCAGGCTTATTCCATCAGAATTGTGTTTTTAGCATGTTTCTTCTGGTACAGCACTGGCAGAGAACACCTTGTCTAAACAAGTTTAAAAAGAAGCATTGGCCTGAACAAGTTTGACTTGACTGGTCAGAGAGGAATTTCCTAGATTTGTTCCCAGATTTGTTGGCATAGATTTTTATGCATTTTCATTTTTCCAGAAGAATGTTCTGTTTGGGGGGTGTTGTTGAAAATATGCAAACTGTAGTACACACAATGAGTGAGACAAGCTGGATGGTCAAGCGGCTCATTAATGTATTTGTAAAATGTTTTCAGTCACAAGGTTACTTTTGTCTTTTTTTTTTAGCCAAAGTATTTTGGCTTGAGTTATAAGATCTTCCACCAGCTTGAAACATTTTGTAGATTTTTATTGAAACTGGTACAGATCGAAGATGTATTGCTGAATAAAAACCTCATAGCTATTGGCATTTGAGGGAGAAGAGCTGAGGATAACTTTTCAGGTACTGATTCATTTGGTGAAGGGCCTATACCAGTCATTAACCTTTGACATGGTAACAAACATTCGCTGTTTCTGTTATTTTTTGTTTTACGGTATTTGTGTTGAAGTAGTTCCTTTTTTATCCTGTTGAGCAAAGTGCAACTGGATTTCAAGGGCTCAGTTTGAATGTGTCTGTCAGAATACACATTGAATCTGTTAACTTCAGAAGGTGATGAAACACCTTTTTTGTATTTTGGATTACGTATGCAGAAGTGGTTGCCCTCAGTTTTTTAAAATTGGTTGAAAAGACAGCTCTTTGCACAGTACAGCCACTCATTGTTACTCGTGGACTTATTTGACAAGAGAGAGTGTGGTTTACAGCATTTTTTTTTCCTGTAGATTGAATGATTCTTCAGTCACTTGCCTCTTGCCACATTGGGTTCCCATTAAAATTGGTTAGCTTATAAACAGCTTAGGGCTTTGGGCTTGGGCTCCTTATTGAGTGGAGTTCTGATTTTTAGTTGGTTATCTAAACTAGAAGAATGTTCTGTCCTGTGCCATGTTTTTCAATAATTTTTATATTTCCTACTTATTAAGATGGTGTTAGATCCATTCTGTGGGACTAATCATGACAGTATTTTAGTTATGTCATGAATCACTGGTTAGTGTACTGGAAGTTGAGCTCCACTATTACCAGATTCATCGCAAATGTGAAAAGATTCCGTCAACTACCCAAAATTCCCAGTGTTCCTGACTGACAAATTTGGGGTAATGCTAGAGTTCATTGCAATCAGCTGATAACAGAGCATTTCGAAAGGCTTAACAGGACAAAGCCAGCATGGGTTAATGAAAGACAAATCATGCTTTACAAAACTCCTGGAATTTTTTTGAGGACGTGACTAATAGCACAGATAAGGGAGAACCAATGGATGTGATATGTTTGGACTTGTAGAAGGCTTTTGATAATTAGCTCATTAGAGGTTAGTGGGCATACTTAAAGCACATAGGATGAGTATAATATATTGGCATGGATTGAGAATTGGTGGTCAGACAGGAAACCAGATTGGGAATAAATATTTTTTTTCTCTGAATGGCAAGCAGTGACTCATGGGGTACCACAAGGATCAGTGCTTGAGCCCCAGCTGTTCACAACATATATAAATGACCTTGCTGGAGGAACAAATGTAACATTTCCAAGTTTGTTGACAATACAAAACTGGGTGGGGTTGAAGAGAATATAAGAAGACTTCAAAACGATTTAGACAAGTTGAGTAAGTGGACAAATACATAGCAGATGCAGTACAATGTGGCTCAATGTGAAGTTATACACTTTGGTCTGAGAAGCCGATAGGAAGAGTATTATTGAAATGGTCATACTGATGTGCAAAGGGATCAGGGTGTCCTTGTAATACCAGTCAACAGAAGTAGATAGGCAGGCACAGCAAGTAATCAGGAAGGCAAATGATACATTGGCCTTCATTGCAAGAGGGTGTGAGTTCAGAAGTTGGGATGTCTCAATGGAGTGTTGCATGCAGGTTTAGTTTCCCAATCGCAGAAAGGATATATTTACCATAAAAGGAGTGCAGATGAAATTCACTAGACTCATACCAGGAATGTCATATAAGGAGAGATTGGTTTGACTGGGCCTGTATTGATTAGAGTTTAGAAGGATGAGTGAGGTTCATAGAGTCACAGAAATATACAGCACGAAAACAGACCCTTCGGTCCAACTCGTCCATGCCAACCAGATATCCTAAATAAATCTAGTCCCACTTGCCAGCAATTGGCCCATATCCTTCTAAACCCTTCCTATTCATGTACCCATCCAGATGCCTTTTAAGTCTTGTAATTGTACCAACATCCTCTATTTCCTCTAGCAGCTCGTTCCATTTCACGCACCACCCTTTAGATCCCTTTTCAATCTTTCTCCTCTGACCTTAAACCTATGCCCTCTTGTTTTGAACTCCCCCATCCCAGGGAAAAGACCTTGTCTATTTACCCTATCCATGACCCTCATGATTTTATAAACCTCGAAAGGGTCACCCCTCAGCCTCCGATGCTCCAGTGAAAATAGCCCCAGGATCTAATTGGAAAAATATAAAATTCTAACTTGGTTGGATGCGGGGAGGATGTTTTCCCTGGTTGAGGAGTCTAGTACCAGTGGGCAAGTATCACGATATAAAGTAAACCATTTGGGACTGAGGTGAGAAAAACTTTCTTTACTCAAAGGGTAGTAAACCTGTGGAATTCTTTACTACAAAAGGCTGTGGAGGCCAAGTCACGAATATATTCAAGGAAGAGATTTTTTAGAATTTAAAGGCATCGAGGGGATATAGGGAGAAAGAGGATCAGCAATGACCGTGTTGAGTGGTGCAAGCTTGAAGGGCCTCCTTGTTTCGACAGCTGTTTATTGATTTTAACCTTGGGCAGTTAGAAAATATGAATTGTCAGCTTAATATTCTATAAGTTGTCTCTCTCCATTCTTAAATTTCCCCTTCACAAATGGACAGATCACAAGATATGGACATTCAAAGATCAGGGAAACAAAGTTTGATAGAACTAACCTGGGCTATTGAAGTTCATAGAATCATATCATAGAATCCCTACAGTGTGGAAACAGGCTGTTCAGCCCAAAAGGTCCACACCGCCCCTCCAAAGGACATCCCATCCAGACCCAGCCCCTTACCCTTTCCCTGTTACCCTCCATTTCCCATGGCTAATCCACCTAACTTACACACCCTGGAAACTATGGACAATTTAGCATGGCCAATCCACCTAACCTGCACATCTTTGGACTGTGGGAGGAAACCAGAGCTCCCGGCAGAAACCCATGCAGACACTGGGAGAATGTGTGGAGTTCTTACAGACAGTCGCCCGAGGGTGGAATCGAACCTGGATGCCTAGCAATGTGAGACAGCAGTGCTAACAGTGCAGCAGTGGATTTGTGAGAGACAGATCATGCCTCACAAACCTTATTGAATTCTTTGAAGAGGTGACCAAACACGTGAATGAAGGTAGAGCAGTGGATGTGGTATACATGGATTTAAGTAAGGCGTTTGATAAGGTTCCCCATGGTAGGCTCATGCAGAAGGTAAGGAGGCATGGGATAGGGGGAAATGTGGCAGATTGGATTCAGAATTGGCTGACCCTTAGAAGACAAAGGGTGGGAGTGGACGGAAAATATTCAACATGGTGCTCAGTTACGAGTGGTGTACCACAAGGATTTGTTCTCGGTCCTCTTCTATTTGTGATTTTTGTAAATGATTTGGATGAAGGAGTGGAAGGCTGGATCAGCAATTTTGCAGATGATACGAAGGTGGGTCGAGTTGTGAATAGTGCGGAGGGCTGTTCTAGGTTACAAAGGGACATTGACAGGATGCAGAGCTGGGCTCAGAAGTGGCAGATGGAGTTTAACCCTGAAAAATGTGAGGTGATTCATTTTGGAATGACAAATTTGAAAGCAGAATACAGGGTTAACAGAAAGATTCTTGGCAGTGTGGAGGAGCAGAGGGATCTTGGGGTTCATGTCCACAGTTCTCTGAAAGCTGCCACCCAGGTGGATAGAGTTGTTAAGAAGGCGTATGGTGTGTTAGCTTTCATTAATAGAGGGATTGAGTTCAAGAGCCGTGAAGTTATACCGCCAGCTATACAAAAGCCTGGTTCGGCCACATCTGGAGTATTGTGCCCACAATACTCTGGTCACCTCTGAGTGGAAGCGTTGGAAAAGGTGCAGATGAGATTTACCAGGATGTTGCCTGGAATGGAGGGAAGGTCTTATGAGGAAAGGTTGAGAGCGCTAGGGCTTTTCTCTTTAAAACGATGAAGGATGAGAGGTGACTTGATAGAGGTGTACAAAATGATCAGAGGTATAGATCGAGTGGACAGCCAGAGACTTTTTCCTGGCATGGAGGTAGCTATTACGAGGGGACATAATTCTAATGTGAGTGGAGGTAGATACAGGGGAGACGTCACAGGTAGGTTCTTTACTCAGAGTGGTAGGGGCGTGGAATGCATTGCTGGAGAGGGTAGTGGAGTCGGCTTCATTTGGGACATTTAAGCGGCTATTCGACAGGCATATGGATGATAATATATGGTAGGGGTGGAGGTTCGATCGACCTTAGGTTTAGGGTAAAAGTTCGGCACAACATCATGGACCGAAGGGCCTGTACTGTGCTGTACTGTTCTATGTTCTAACCACTGTGCTCCTGCAGACCTATTCTATCTATGAAGTTGCTGAGTTTTCTTTTGGTTTCTACCAATTCCATCTAATTCTTTGCTATTGACAGAAGATTGTTTGCACACCAATGTTCTCTTTGATTTACTGGTTGACATTTTGTCCTTTCACTATCTTTGAAGGTGTTTTATTTCTCTTTTAAAGGGAGTTTGCAGAAAACTGTTAAGTAGAAGACAACTACCTGTTGCTGAAGGTTTTTTTTTGTTGCTTTCACACAGACTTTTCAGAACTGTTATTTTGCAGTCTTTGTTTCTCTGCACTTGTCCTACAAAAGCTTTTTATCTGGTCAGAAGCCAATCAGAACATGTTGTCAAGCAATTTTCCCTGATTCGGATCCCATCAACTCCGTGGTCTCTGCTTTTTACCTCATTGTTCCAGGAAAATGCAATACACAATAAACTCCCAATGTACTCAAGTAAATGCAGTTTTTAACATTGCAGTCATCTCTGTGCATCGTCTCCTTGGTTTAAAGCAATCTCTTCTTCTTTTAGCTTTCAGTCAAAAAAAAGGAAAATGAAAAGATATGGTCTTTACAGGTACTAGAGACCAAATTCACATACTCTTCTGGTTTGACGTAGTAGTTGTTGGATGTCGAGCTAAGCCTCTGATAACGTTCTCAAAAATGGCTCTCATCCTTATGATTCTTTATTGTTCCTCTTGTGGATGTTTTAATTGTCTCTCTAGTTGGGATTTCCACGATTGCTGCATGAGATTTCCTCAATCAAATGCCATATTATGGCACTTGTTTTGTTTTATTCCTGTTGGAGACTAGGTTAAAACTCCATTGCATATTTCACCAAGCACACTGACAGCCAACAGAATGTAATTGTAATTCCCTTTAATTAGGGCTTGGACTGCTGCTGACAAGAACATCTGCTGAATTTTTATGCCAAGTAGCTCCCCCTCTCCTATCTATTTGACAAAAAAAGTGACGTTTTGCTGTACATGGGAAAATACTGCAATGTCATGTGAATTGAGTAATGTCAATATGAAAGCTACTTTTGAGTGATTGTATTTATGCCTTACATTACCGTGACAATATAGAGTTAAAGGAGTGTCTATTATAATGTCAAGTAAACTTGGGCAGCATGGTGGCTCAGTGATTAGCACTGCTGCCTCACAGCGCCAGGGGCCTGGGTTCGATTCCCCATTTGGCAACGGTCAGTGTGGAGTTTGCACGATCTCCCTGTGTCTGCATTTGTTTCCTCCGGGTGCTCTGCTTTCCTCCCACAGTCTAAAGCTGTGTAAGCTAGGTGGATTGGCCATGCTAAATTGCCCGCAGTGTTCAGGGATGTGTAGATTAGGTGGGTTTGGGGAATGTGTCTGGGTGGGATGCTCTGAGGGTCGGTGTGGACTTGTTGGAACGAAGGGCCTGTTTCCACACTGTCAGGATTCTATGGATCTATAAATAAAGTTGGCTACCCAGTCAAGCTGTATGTGGCAGTACAGAAAAGATTGTTGCGTCAGAGCTTTGGAGTGGTGTGAGACTTGATTTATTTGTGACATACCCTATCAAATTTGTTTGTGTCTCATTCACTCCTGTTTATTTTCAGGTTCAACCATCTGTAGCAAAGCTTATTTTAGTTAACTTTCATTGGAAAACCTCTGATATTTCAGAAAGGTAAGGAATATTCCTCCTCTGTTCTAAGGTTACTTTGTATTTGCAACCTGGTACATCTCCACAGCAACCTCACTTGTCATCTCGCTCTAATTCATGATTTTTTTTTTGCCAATAACACTCGTTTTATTTAAACCATCCTGACTACAGCCTGTTCATATTCATACTGTGTAAGTTGTGTGCAATATATATGTAGAAAAAATGTGGAATATATCAAGCTTATTATTTGCAGAAATTAAAAACATAAGTGAAGTGCTATAAATGTCTAAATCTTGCTCTCTTGGACACTTTGATTATAGTGAGTTGTTTTTAGTTCACCTTGGATGGAGATGTCACCAACTGAGAGAAGAATTTACATATAATTTGAGAAACCAAGGTGAAAATTGTGTGTGATAAAAACCACTTTTTTTGGTATGTCAGACAGTTGGAATCAGGTAATGGCAACCTTGTTTTTAAAAGGAAGGAAAAGCAAAGGAAGGTGAAAAGCACTGTAGTTTTCAAGTTCCAGAAAAGTGAAATGAATGGAATGTGTGTCAAAGTCATGACCACCTCTTGATTTAAGCTCTTGCCAGTTCCTCCATTTTTTGCGGCAAGTCCGTTTCAGTATGAACTCTTGAAGCCTCCTGAGCTGCTGATACCAGAGAGACTGTTCCCGATTGGAATTTTCACTGTTGAAGGAGGTGTATTATTTGTTCCAAGTAACAAGAACACATCCATTTGGGTGAGGTTGTTCTTTAACTGCCACTGTAGAGCCATGTAAATGTTCTTCACTTCTGCATCTGCTAGCTGCACTCCATTTTTCAGTGGTGTCCTGGATTATGTGGTATTGGTAACCAGTAGTTGTGAACTGGAGGTCTAAACTGAAATTTGATCTGTTATACCCTGACTGATAATTTTGCTTTTTCCTTTAAATATACATAGTGAGCCAAGTTAGCATATCTAACGAGAAAAGAGGAGTTAATGCTCGATTTGTATCTCTTACTGAGAAACACATGGGTTTTTGGATATGCCATTGAATGGAATTTATCATGGTTTGAAGATCATGTATGTCGGTGGTGTCTTTTAGGCAGCAGTCCTCATAGAGTTCTGCAGCACAGAAAATCACCGATCGGCCTGTCAAGTCTGTATTGGTCACAAACCACCATCTAATCATTTTAATCCCTTTTTCCAGCACTTGGTCCATCGCCTTGGGCATTTTGGTGTCAAGGCATAGATCTAAATACTTATAATATGTTACAAGGCTTTCCACCTCCTCCACCTTCAAGGCAGTGAGTTCCAGATTTCCACCACCCTCTGGATGAAAAAGGTTTCCTCACGTCCCCTCTAAAGCTCCTGCTCTTACTCTAAATCCATGTCCCCAGGATCCCTCGACCAATGGAAAAAAATTCTTTTTGTCTACCCTGTCTAAGCCCCTCATAGTTTTGTACATCTTAATCATGTTCCCCCCCCACAGCCTCCTCCACTCTGAGGAAAACAACCCCAGTCAATTTAATCTTTCTTCATATCTGAAGAATTCCAACCTGGACAACATTGTGGTGAATCTCTTCTGCATTCTCTCCAGTGCAGTCACCCCTCCTCCTCTAATGTGGATTCCAGAACTGCACATGACCATAGTTGTGGGCTAACCAACTTGTTATGTAGTTCCAGCATAATGTCCCTGCTCTTAACCTCTATGCCTTGGCTAACATAGGCAAGTATCCTATATGCTGCCTTAACTGCTTAACTACTTCAGGGAGTCCATAGTCACCTGCCTGCACACATTGCATGGTTGATCGAGCTATAGGAGTGTTGAATAGAGTTACGTAACTGTGCATGTTTTAATGCGCATTTTCATTATGAAAAACAACCCATTTGGTCTGTGCATTATTTCTGTTCCATGAGTCTCCCAACCCCCTTCATCCAATTCACATCTTTCTGTACCTTTATCCTTCATATTTATTAATTTTGTCTTCTATGCATTGTCAATACACAGCATAGAGGGAGGTCATTCACTCCAGTATTGGCTTTCTGTAAAACATTTTAATCTGTCCCATTGTATTATTACATCCACAGTTATTCAAGTTTATTTCCTTCAAGTACCCATCCAGTTTCCTTGTGAATTTATTCATATTTGCTCTGCTTTTTCTTTATGACAGGTTTAGAGCAGGTCAACAATCTTGAACATGTCTATTAAATATCCTTTAGGTCTCCTTTGCTCCAAAGAGAACAGCCAACTTCTCCAATCTAACTTGTAACTGAAATCCTACACCCATGGAGCTATTATGGTAAATCTCCTCTGTACCCTCAAGCACCTTCACATCCTCCTTAGTGTGGTGACCAGAACTGGGGACACATCTCTGGTTATGGCTCAACCATAATGATTGGCCAGAAATTAGCAAGATTCAGTGTAATTGTGCTGTTTTTCTGCTCAGCACTTTAGTTATGAAGGCCAAGATCACGTGTACTTTGGGAACTGCTGTCAATATATACTTCGACCTTCAAAGATATACATACATATACTCCCAGATCCCTCTGTTACTGTATATGCTTTAGAATTGTGCCATTTCCTCCATATTCCCTCTTCCAATCCCTGAAGGTAAAACATTTTTGCGTTCAACTTTTCTTCATTAAATTCCCTTTGCCCTTTAATCTCTCCTTTTGCAGTTGGTTTGCATCATTCCTATCTAGCATACGTCCATGTGCCATCAGCAAATTTCGAAATGTTCATCTGTATTCCAAAATCCAACTTATTTCTGTATATCAAAAAGACTTAGCACAGAGCTGTGGGAGACACTACTGCATACCATGCCCAACCTAAAAAAAACCTTTTACCGTGATTTGAAACCCAAAAATGTTGGAACTCTAATTGGGCCAGGCAGGATACATGGAGAGAGAGCAAGCTAACGTTTTGAGCTTTACTTGTTGCATTCTCTGTCACCACATCCTCTCTTCCATTACCAACCGCCCCCCATTTTATTGGGACCACCTGTTCTTTCCAGTTTAGCAGTTGGAGACACCATTGTTCTGCCATTCTCACATTCCAATCACTTAATTTGCACCTACACTATCAGCACCCTTTCTCCCCCAGTACTCCATCCCCACATGATTGCACAAATGCTGTCCCCTCCAAACTTCACGTCAGCTCTGATGAAGAATCATCTAGACTTGAAACGTTAGCTTGCTGTCTGTTTCCACGGATGCAGCCTGACCTGCTGAGAGTTCTGGCATTTTTTGTTTGCATTATAGAACCCAGCATCTGCTATAATTTGCCTCTACATTAGATTTACCATGACTTGCTTTTTTTCATTCTTAAACCATTTTTCAAAACTCAAGCTGGCTCAGATCTCCTTGTTGCGTGAGGCTCGACTTTGTTCATCAGCCTTTGATGTGGTTCAGCTGAACAGGTGTGAACTAGACAAAGCTACTGTTTAAGTCTCACCTTTTCTTTCAGGCACAAATCTAATCCAACTCAGCTTCTGGTGGAGGCCAGAGTTCAGCCGAAAACAGCAAAAAATGTAAGTGCTTGAAAGGCACAATTGCATTCGGTTTTTAGCAGTTTCAAGAGAACGGAAAGCACTGTTGGCATACGTGATGTTGGTGATCAATGCAGCTTGTGTATTTCATTTTTGTTTCCCAGACGTTCATCCATTCTTCTCATCATTGTGGTGTATGCCTGCAGTCAGTTCGAAAGGAGAATTTATTGTCCTTGCCCTGCCACCATCCGTTCTGCCGCAGTTGTTGGGAGCAGCATAGCACTGTACTGGTAAAAGATGGCATTGGAGTGGGTGAGTCCAGGAACTGATGTTGTGATAAATATGAGGGTTCACAGGAGTTGTACTCCTTCATTTCAGCCTGCAGAGGTTTTGCTGTCTGTCATTCAGATATATTTCTGTCCAAAATGTCTTTTCAAATTTAGGAACAGCCTATGAATTTGGAAACTTCGTTCACCCATCCTCTCCCTCACTGTGCACAGCCAGTTAGATAAGGCATTTCTTTTGGCAGCAGGGTGGCAGAATTTTGGTTAATGTGTGACATTTTCTGAGAGCCTGATCTTGTTTTGACCATCACGGTGAAACGGCAATTTGAAACATTTTATTTTGCGCCTTTGAGAGAACCAGTTATGCTTGACCCTTGTTTCATTTGTTTTGGTTTACTAACCCTCTAATATTGTTGGAAGGGTTGAACTTTTATTTTGTTTCACTTGCTTTAGAGTGAACAATGAAAGTACCTGCATGGGTATCAATTTATCTCAATTACTGACCAAAGAATTGTTTTGAAGTCATTATTGCTGTGGCTTTTCAATGAGAAAACCAGATAGTTAATATCATCAGTGAGTGACAATATAGACAAGTCCTTCTCTACCCAAAATGGAAAATAAAATAGTTCTGAAGTTATTCAACAGTCTGCCAGGTTCCAAATGTTGTTTAATGCCAGATTGCCCTCTTGGGGAGAGGGAGGCAACAGTGTCCTTCAGTCCCTCATGTTTTCTCAGTGAGGTCCCTCCGTTCTGAAGGATTTTGAAAAAGAGATATGGGATTCAAATGTGAACTCAGTTTCCATCTCCAGAAGCTGCGAGACCGGCTGAGTTTCTCCAGCACTTTGTTTTTATTCCAGATCTCCAGGGTTTGCAGTATTTTTTTTCATATGATGAATTGAGACAATTTGTCTCCTATTAGATTGTGAACAATGTACAAATTTTTTTTGTCTTTTTTTTGTCTTATGAATAAATGGTCATTGTTAATTTGTCATGTCGCAACAGGTAGGCTTCAGATTCTAGTCATGCTGCAGGTGCGTACTAGAATCATAATGCATCTTTTGAAAGAGAAAGTTTCAGGAAAGAATATGCATTCTAGAAAATGGTTTGGTGGACCTGAAGTATCTTTAGATTGAAAAGCAAACTAATAAATGCTGGAACAGCCATTAGGGGGAAACAACATCTGAAAATAATAAAAGATTATTGTTTTGAGTTTCTTAGAAATTTTAAAGAACATAGAACAGTACAGCACAGTACAGGCCCTTCGGCCCACGATGTTGTGCCAAACTTTTACCCTCATCTTAAGGTCTATTTAACCTCCACCCCTACCTTATACTATCATCCATATGCCTATCTAATAGCCGCTTAAATGCCCCCAATGAGGCCGACTCCACTATCCTCTCCGGCAATGCATTCCACGCCCCTACCACTCTGAGTAAAGAACCTACCTGTGACGTCTCCCCTATATCTACCTCCACTCACATTAGAACTATGTCCCCTCGTAATAGCTACCTCCACTCTAGGAAAAAATCTCTGGCTGTCCACTCGATCTATACCTCTGATCATTTTGTACACCTCTATCAAGTCACCTCTTATCCTTCGTCGTTCTAAAGAGAAAAGCCCTAGCGCTCTCAACCTTTCCTCGTAAGACCTTCCCTCCATTCCTGGCAACATCCTGGTAAATCTCGTCTGCACCTTTTCCAACGCTTCCATATCTTTCCTGTAATGAGGCGACCAGAACTGGACACAATACTCCAGATGTGGCTGAACCAGGCTTTTGTATAGCTGGAGCATAACTTCACAGCTCTTGAACTCAGTCCCTCTATTAATGAAAGCTAACACACCATACGCCTTCTTAACAAATCTATCCACCTGGGTGGCAGCTTTCAGAGAACTGTGGACATGATCCCTCTGCTCCTCCACACTGCCAAGAATCTTTCCGTTAACCCTGTATTCTGCTTTCAAATTTGTCATTCCAAAATGAATCACCTCACATTTTTTAGAGTTAAACTGCATCTGCCGCTTCTCTGCCCAGCTCTGCATCCTACCAATGTCCCTTTGTAACCTAGAACAGCCCTCCGCACTATCCACAACTCGACCCACCTTCATATCGTCCGCGAACTTACTAATCCACCCTTCCACTCCTCCTTCCAAATCATTTACAAAAATCACAGATAGAAGAGGGCCGAGAACAGATCCTTGTGGTACACCACTCGTAACTGAGCACCATGTTGAATATTTTCCGTCCACTCCCACCCTTTGCCTTCTAAGGGTCAGCCAATTTTGAATCCAATCTGCCACATTTCCCCCTATCCCATGCCTCCTTACTTTCTGCATGAGCCTACCATGGGGAACCTTATCAAACGCCTTACTTAAATCCACGTATACCACATCCACTGCTCTACCTTCATCTACATGTTTGGTCACCTCTTCAAAGAATTCATTAAGGTTTATGAGTCATGATCTACCCCTCACAAATCCATGCTGACTATCATGAATCAAACTGTGCCTTTCCAAGTGATCATAAATCCTATCTCTGAGTCCTTTCCAATAATTTGCCCACCACTGACGTAAGACTAACTGGCCTGTAATTTCTGGGGTTATCCCTGTTCCCTTTCTTGAACAAGGGAATGACGTTTGCCTCTCTCCAATCTTCTGGCACTATACGCGTGGACAGTGAGGATGAAAAGATCACCACCAAGGGCCCTGCGATCTCTTCCCTTGCTTCCCATAGAATCCTTGGATAAATCCCATCAGGCCCGGGGGACTTATCTATTTTCAAGTTCCTCAAAATTCCCAGTACATCTTCCTTCCTACATCGACCTCCTCTCACCTACCAGCCTGTTTCACACTGTCCTCCTCTACAACTCGGTCCATCTCAGTTGTGAATACCGAAGAAAAGTATTCATTAAGGACCTCTTCTATCTCTTTAGGCTCCGTGCGCAAATTCCCTTTACAATCCTTGATCGGCCTTACCCTTTCTCTGGTCATTCTCTTATTCCTCACGTACGTGTAGAAAGCCTTGGAGTTTTCCTTGATCCTATCTGCCAAGGTTTCTCATGCCCCCTTATAGCTCTCCTAAGCCCTTTCTTCAGCTCCTTGCTGGCTAACTTGTATCCCTCTAGAGCCTTTTCCGTTCCTTGTTTCCTAAACCCTATATGAGCATCCTTCTTCCTATAAACCAGTCGTTTGACCTCTCTTGAGAACCAAGGCTCCTTCATTCGACCACATCTTCCCTGCCTGCTAGGGACAAACATATCGAGCAGAGGCAGTATGCATTCCTTAAACAATCTCCACATTTCAATAGTGCTCTTCCCTGACAGCATCTGTTCCCATTTTATGTTACCCAGTTCTTGCCTAACAGAATTGTAATTACCCTTCCCCCAATTATAAACCTTACCCAGCTGTATGTACCTATCCTTTTCCATGACTATTGTAAAAGTAGCAGAGTTATGATCGCTACCGCCAAAATGCTCTCCTACCAACAGGTCTAACACTTGGCCTGGTTCATTGCCAAGCACCAAATCCGAAATGGCCTCTCCTCATGTTGGTCGATCTACGTACTGTGTCAGGACAAAATCCGCTCCATCTAAACTATTACAACTAAAACGTTTCCAATCAATGTTTGGAAAGTTGAAGTCACCCATGACGACAACCCTGTGACTTCTGCACCTTTCCAGTATCTGCCTCCCAATCCGCTCCTCCACTTCTCTGCAACTATTAGGGGGTCTGTAAAAAAAAAAAAAAAAACCCCAACAACGTGACTGCTCGTTTCTTGTTCCTGACCTCAACCCAAACTGACTCTCTAGACATATCATTCTTGAACTGCCTTTCAGTAGCTGCTATTACTAGCCCTGACTAGCAATGCCACTCCTCCACCTCTCTTTCCACCCTCCCTATTTCTTTTGAAGCATCTAAATCCTGGAACTTCCAACAACCATTCCTGTCCCTGAGTTAGAGATAGTAGGAACTGCAGATGCTGGAGAATCTGAGATAACAAGGTGTAAGAGCTGGACGAACGTCAGCCTCGAAACGTCAGCCTTCCTGCTCCTCTTATGCTGCTTGGCCTGCTGTGTTCGTCCAGCTCTACACCCTGTCCCTGAGTTACCCAAGTTTCTGTAATGGTCACAACCTCGTAGTTCCAAGTACTGACCCATGCTCTAAGTTCATCCGCCTCATTTCTGATACTTCTAGCATTGAAGTATACACACCTCAAAGCATCTCCGTGTCCACAATTATGCTCCATCGACCGCATTTCTTCATTGACAGCCTCACTCCCTGTTGTGAATGTTGGAAGGCTGAATACCTCATCCTCTGAATTACAAATCCAGTTCCCCACCCCCTGCCAATCTTGTTTAAACCATCCCGTCTTGCTCGAGCAAACCTCCCTCCCAGGATATTTGTGCCCTTCCGGTTCAGGTGTAGCCCGTCCTTACTGTACAGGTCCCACCTTCGCCAGAATGTGCTCCAATTATCCACATAATGGAAGCCCTCCCTCCTGCACCAGTCCTGTAGCCACGTGTTTAGCTGCACTCTTTCCTTTATTTCTTACCTCGTTATCATGCGGCACTGGTAGTAATCCAGAGATAACTACCCTGTTGGCCCTGGACTTCAGCTTCCAACCTAACTCCCTGTACTCGTTTTTCACATTCTCAGTCCTTTTTCTACCTATGTCATTGGTACCGATGTGTACCATGACTGCTGGTTGCTAACCCTCTCCCTGAAGACACAATCCAAGACGTCACGGACCCTGGCACCTGGGAGGCAACATACCATCTGTTCATCTCGTTCGCGTCCACAGAACCGTCTGTCTGTGCCTCTTACTGTTGAATCCCCCACTACAGTTGCTGTCCTATTCTCCCCCCTTCCCTTTTGTGCCACAGGGTCAGGCTCAGTGCCAGAGACCTGTCCGCTATGGCTTTCCCCGGACACCGCACCCACGACCACCCCCCACCCAACCCCTTTCCCCTTCCTGACAGTCACCCAGCTACCTTTTTCCTGTACCTTGGGTGTGATCACCTCCTTATAACTCCTCTCTATCACCCCCTGGATCCCGAATGATCCAGTTTCATCCAGCTCCAGCTCCAGTTCCCTAATGTGGTTTTTGAGGAGCTGGAGTTGGGTGCATTTCTCGCAGGTGAAGTCAGAGGGGACACCAGCAGTGACCCTTAGCACCCACGTTCTGCAAGAGGAGCATGTGACTGCCCTAGCTTCCATTCCCTCTACTGTAGATTTCCAGAAGAATAAAAAAAGCCCTTACCTTACCGACCCTCCATACAGTCTTTTTTTGGTTAGAGGAGGAATGAACTGCAATGGAGATCCATAATGGTGAACTTTCTTTGCCAAAATGAGTTGAGATCAGTTTATTTCCAGTATTTACTGTTCCCAAATGCATCTGAGTAGGTGACTGACAAGGTGTTGGAGTAAGTAGTGTGATTTTATATAATCCGGTCGACATAAAGTTAATTTAAAATTGGGAATCTCGCCTTTTTCTTCAAAGCTTCCATATAGTGTTCTTTGGTATATTGTTGAATGCATGATTATATGTTGCACTTCAGATCCTTAATAATAATAATAAAGTAAATTAGATAAAGCAATCAGTGTAAAAAGAAATGCTTGCAGCATCCAAGTGTGTGGGTCATCTGAAATACGGCAGTAAATCCAGTCTAATGACTGCCTTTGGAATACATCAAGAATCCTGTTATGGACCAGTGTTGGTTATCGTGGCCCAGAGCCATTGGCTTCCTAATAGCAATATGTTTCTATTTCAAGTCTGTGTCTCCGAAGGTTTTAATTTCACCCACGCAGGAACCACGGATTTCTGATGTACAGTCTTAATTTAAAACATTTTCATGAAATAAAATTGTGTTGAACAAAAACAAGCCTTTTTACAGTCTGCATGTTTATAAAGATTTAACACCCGATTAGTTTCATTATTATTGAATGAATTGAATTACTTTGCAGTGTGCGCCTAGCTGCAGCAACTCGACAGTGTGCTTTTGTGAATTGCTAGAGGCATGTACTATATGTTATTTAGAAATTCATTAGAGGATTGTCTAATATTCTGGCTCTGGGCGCTTATAGATGTTTTGATTCTTTGCTTGTTGCTGATGCCTGCTGCTGCTTTCTGGCTGGACTGTAATTTCCGCACACTAGGGTTGCTTCTACTCATTATTTCATTTGAGACTTCTACCTAACAGTGAGTTAAACATTTTATTTGTTATACAAGCTTACAGAAAGCCTAAAGGATCCTTGGATTTATAAATAGAGGCATAGAGTGGAAAAGCAAAGAAGTGATGCTATACCTCTACAAATCATTGGTCAGGCTATATTTGGAGTATTGTGTTTAGTCCTGGGCACTTTAGTTAGGGAAGGATGTTAAAGCTGTGGAGGGAGTTCATAGGATTGATTGTCATATGTATCATGATACAGTGAAAAGTGTTGTTTTTCATGCTAAACAGGCAGTTCGTACCATATAAAGCGCATCAGGTAGTGGAATAGAGTGCAGAATACTATGTGACAGCTACGTAGAAGGTGCAGGGAGAGAGATCAGAATTAACATTTGAGAAGTCTGTTCAAAAGTCTGTTAACAGCTGGGAAGAAGCTGTTCTTGAATCTAGTCGTATTGGTATTCAAACTTGTATATCTCTTGCCCGACGGAGGTTTACTTGAAAGATATAAGCAGTGAAGGATTTTACAGGGGAAGATTTAAGACATTGGGTTTATTCTCCTTGGAGCAAAGAAGATTAACAGGTGACCTTATTGAGGTGTTCAAAATTATGAACAATTTTGATAGGATAAAGAAGGATGTTCTTTTACACTAGTTGTTATGTCACAATTTCAAGGGTGTCGGCAAGAGATTACGACGGGGAATGGCTGAACCCCTGTGATAATTAAACGAAAACACAAGCCCCAATCTGTTGTGACAGGAGTAGGGGCTCCCCTCTAATAAGAGAAGCTCGTCTTTCCCCTCGTAATCTATGAAAAAGTGGTTAAAAGAAAGAAAATCCCTGATCTCCACTTTACAAGTAACAAGAAACAATTTATTTATTTAACCCAACAACAAACAAATTAACAAAATTACTAAAAAACGGACAATCCCCCCTTAGACAGCTAAATATTGTCTAACTGGTCTGAATTCTACTGGAATGCTGTTCCATTAAAGACCAGTCCCACTAATATAAACCGAGCTAATAAGAAGTAAGAAATTAAACTTAGTCTATGTGAACCTGGACAGCTTGTCTTCTGGAATATTCTGTCATCACCCGTCTCTTCACAAACAATTTTCCTCAGTTAATTCTGTTGTCAGGGATGTTTTAACTCTATAATTTCTTCGATGAGGACTTTGAGCTAAAATACTGTGGTACCTTTGATTAATTAGATGGGCTTTCTCTGAGAGCTGAATGGTGCTAACTCTGGCAGGTGGCACATGACTCTCTCTTTCAAATGGCAGTTGGCTCTCTCCAATTTTCCAAATGTCCTTGTCTTACATACCCGTAATGATATTATCAAATTCTTATAATATGGTTGGTTTTGAGTTGTCTACACCATCAGATTTAAATTCAATTGGCATTCTGTATTTAGATGCTTCGTTTAAATTAATTGACCAAATTCAAACTTGGTGTCTTGGAAAAAATGCTGCTTGGTTGTTCTGTACAAAATGTTTCCATTCCGGCACACTGTATGCACCTGCATTTATAAACTTCCAAGGACAAGCTCTTAAAGGGACCATGGCACTCTTTTCCCCACGATTATTTTTACCAACAAATTCTAACTTCCTGCCTTCCAATTCATGAATACTGTACCCAATTTCCTAACATAGGAGTGAGATGAGAAACTTGTTTGCTTAGAGTTGTTAAGATTTGGAATGCGTTTCCTGGGAGAGTAGTTGAGGTGGATCTGTAGGAGGTTTCAAAAGAGAGCTGCATATGTATTTGAAAGTGGTGAAGGCAGAGGGTTACAGAGATAGGGCTGGAGAGGGGGACTAGTTGGGTAACTCTTTCGAAATATAGAATATACATATTAGCTGAATAGTCTGAGCTCTATTTGAATTTTGATTCAGAATGTTGATTTCCCATGCTCCCAAACAGCACCACTTCAACAGTTTTGAAGGTAACAAAAATTGGGCTTTTATCCATAGACATTAGAAGTTCTGTAAAATACACGTCCTCTGATAAGGGCCATTAAAATGTCATTTTAAATTCTTTGTCTCTTTCTCTCCCCATGCCTGTCTTCTCTTGACAATTCTGATTCTTGGCTGGAGTGCATGACAGCAAATTTTGGGCATACTCTGGACATTTGGTTATTATGTGTGTAGTGTTTAACCATGAGTTTCACAGGATTTAACCCTGGTGAGCATCACAACTGAGTGTTGCTCATCCATTGAGACACTTTGACTAATGGCTGAAATCTGTTAACTTGGCCAATGATCCAAGCAAAATCACTGTTCTTACACTATCTGCTAGGACCTAAGGTACATGTGGGCAATTTTGGTTCGATTAAATTTGAGGGCAAAAAGTCTTCCCTTTTCCATTACATCTGATGTACAACAGAACTCAAGTACCTCCCCTCCTCAGGCTTTTATGAATATATTTTCGAACTGACCAGGCCAGTTGCTCCTGGCTGAATTTGAAGTCTCTTTGGGATGTGTTTCGCTCATCCAAGTGGAGGCAGAACTGAGGTCTGGAGCATGTGACTTCATAGACATGCTGTGACCATGAAACGTTATTCCTAGGTTAGATTATAGCGCATATAATGTTGCTTCATGAAATTTCTATTAACTGAATTCCTACTTGGGGTCAAATACATCATTGTATGGTGAGCACTACAGGTAGACAGTTTACAAAAGATTTATTTTCATCACCTGATTGTCTAAATTATTGCCAGATTTTGTTTTAATGATTGATTATAATCAGGCTGCATGTTTTGCTAGGTATATCCTGTATGGCGCAAGATTGCCTGCTCCGAACGCCCGAGGACTTTGCTTTTCCTTTGATTTCTAATGAAGAACTTCGAGAAAAATACAGGCGCTACCTCTTCAGAGATTATGTAGAGGTGAGTGATTTTAAACACAGTTTGGACTTTTGGCATATTGCAGATACAACGAATGATATGTTTTGCATGTGTTAAAACCTTGTCAGTGTGAAACACACGAAGGTGATCAATCCTCTAGCTATCTATTATTTATAAATTGAAAGCAAAACCTAAATTATTCTGGCTATTCAGAATCACAAGTGGGAATGTTGTCTTATTAGACCGGTCTGTATGTAAATATGTGACTCTTCTGCCATGGCCCATCTCAAGTTAAGTGATGGAGTTGCAACTGGTGTCAGTACTCTTGGTCTTGACTGAGGTATGAGGTAAGAGTTGTTTGAGGTTCCCATTCAGGCTGGCTGTTCATTGACCCATGGTGCAAAGTATAAGCCAGACAAGAACAAATTGAGCTAGATGCACAAGTCTTCCAAATACCGTTGTGAATAGAATAGACAAGGTATACCAGGGGCTGATGACAGATCTTGAAGTGCAGTGCAGGAACTTAACTACCTTTAGGAGGCATTGGGAAATGATTGGAAAATCATATCGGAGCAATTTAAATATATTTATTTATAAATTTTAAGATTTTGAGCTTGAGATTTTATTTCTCCTGCATCATTCATGTTTCCATGTTTGTTGACCAAGTGGTACAAATCTGGCAATAATATGAAACATAATCTAACATTTTTAAGCTTTTCTTCAGTGATCCTTCTAATTGGTGACTGTTGTGTTTCTGAATGTTGCCTTGAGAGTTGAGTTGAAAGTGATACTGAACTGGCAGCTTTACCTAACTGCTGTTTTACAGACTAGAGAGAGAAATCGTTTTGGGAGTGTGGCTCAGACAATTTTAATTAAATTAAAAGTATCAAATATGTCTCTTCTCCATCATTTGCCCTCAGTTTGCTCCAATTGATCTTTCTTTTACACACAGTCTCTAGTTTAATACAGACTGAGGAAATACATTCATGAATAATAAAACAGTTTTTTTTTGCTGTAGAGGCAGATTGAGGCAATGGGAAAGCAAAGTCTTAAAGTTTCAACAGGAGAATGATGTGCTATAGTGCAGATTGCTTTGGTCCAACAGAATTTTGAACAATAACCATTATCTTGAATTTGCCTTAAAACAGCTCCATTATTGCTTTTCCTTCCTTCCTGCTTTTGTAGTAGGATAAGATAGAAAATTGAGGTGAATCGCAAATGATTTTTGCTCCATATTCTGAGTACTGCTGCTTCAATATATTCCTGAATTTCTGCCACTATTTTGAGGTTTACTGGCTTTGTGGGTTGTAGTGATTGGAATGAGAGCCAGTTGGAACTCATTGACTATGAGATCTTTGGGGTTGTTAACCTGGGCCAATCAGAGATCGCTGGCTGACAGATGTAAACAGGAGATTCACAGAGTCTCCTCAGGTTGTTGACTTGCTCGCCGAGCTGGCTTGTTTTCATTCAGACGTTAATTAACCATTCTATGTGACATCATCAGTGAGGCCTCCGATGAAGCGATGTTATTCTACTCCGCTTGGAATTTATACTGTCTGGTTCGTTACGGTGAGTAGTGTCATTTCTGGTTTTGATCTGTATGGATTTGTATATGGGGTCCTGATATGTATACATCAGAACTGACAACAAGACTCCTATGACCACTAGGAATCACGGTAGCGCACAAGCCTACAACTACTCTATGACAAACACTCAAGGATGAAAGATCCCGTTCCCACAACATGCAGAACCAACATGGTTTACAAAATACCAAGCAATCGCTGCCACAAACATTACATTGGACAGACAGGAAGGAAACAAGCCATCAGAATACACAAACATCAGCTAGCACCAAAATCACACAATGAACTTTCTTCAATGTCAGTACGCTCGGACAATGAAGGCCATCAATTTAACTGGGTCAAGGTAACCATAGTAGCCCAAGCCAAACATAGATATGCACAAGAATTCCTAGAGGCATGGTTCTCAACCCGTAATGCAATCAACAAACATATAGACTCGGACCCCATATACAAACCCATATAGATCAAAACTGGAAATGACACCATTCACCATAATGGACCAGACAGTATAAATTCCAAGCAGAGTAGAATAACATCGCTTCATCAGAGGCCTCCCTGATGATATCACCTAGCAAGGTGATGAAACATCTGAATGAAAATAAACCAGCTCGGTGAGCAAGTCAACAACCTCACCCACAACCCGAGCAACAAAAATTTTTGCTGCAACTTTAAAGAGTCTCCTCAATCTAGGGACAGGCTCGAAGCTGGCTGGTCAGAGCCCATATACTGAGGGGAGGCAATGGCCTAGTGGTATCATCATTGTTAATCCAGAGACCAAGATAACATTCTGGGTTCGAATCCCACTACAGCAAATGGTGGAATTTGAATTTGATTAAAAACTATCTGGAATTAAGAATCGAGTGATAACCGTGAATCTGTTGCTGATTGTTGGAAAAACCCATCTGGTTCACTAATGTCCTGAAGGGAAGGAAACTGCCATCCTTACCTGCTGTAGGTCTGGCCTACATGTGACTTCAGACCCACAGCAATGTGGTTGACTCTCCACTGCCGTCTGGGCAATTAGGGATGAGCAATAAATGCTGCCTATAAGTGACACCCTTATCCCATGAATAAATGTAAGAAAAAAATATGCAAATAAGAGATGTGTTGGTGACAGGCTACCGGCCTCTGCAGTTATTTCGCAGTGAAAAAATAACAAAAAGGGCCAAGTATTTTCAACATTAGGACTGAGAGCTTGGAAGTGATTGGGCAGCTACTTAATAACTGTGAATAATAGAAAATGGATTTGCTGCCCTCCTCCCTGCTAGATGTTTGTGTATCTTCCTCTGAGTCCTGCTGTCATCTTTTCCTAAATGCCATGACAATTAAAAGAATCATTTGTATGAATCCAGCGCAATAAACTCTTAAAAGCAATGTTAGTTCTTATTTGTCAATTGATAGTTAACTGAGAAGTGGTGACGACATATAGATTTGTGATAGGTATTTAATAGAATTTCCCTGCAGCATACAGTGGCCATAAAATAGCTTTTGAACAATGAAATTACTGAGAAATTGAGGGAAGATTTGATTGTGGTAACATTATTAAAAGTTAGTTGCATTGATTTGTCAGTTACAAAAACAGAAATTGCTGGAAAAGCTCAACAGGTCTGGCAGCGTCTGTGGAGAGAAATTAGACTTAACGTTTCAGGACCAGTGACCCTTCTTCAGTTGTCCAACAGATCACTTATGAAACTTTGAAGACTGGATTGCTCAATCTTCAAGCTTGATAATATTACCCAGAAAAACGGTTTTCTATTGTAAATGGCTAAATATGTCTTGATTGCATTGTTAATGGCATGAATGAGAGAATACTAGCTAACTTCATTCGACGTATAAACCTTTGATTATCATCAGGAGAGAATTGCATAATTCAGAACTGTATGTTGAAATTCTTTTGGTTATGACTGGCAGCATTTCTCATGTCCATTAGGTAGTATCTGATGTCAGAATGACCTTAAACAAAGGCATGCCTTTAATTCATGCACATAATTAAAAGCAGAATAATCTCATGAGGACTCCTCTAGATTATCACTTCCTCATTCCAAGTTCATGATTTCGGGTTCTTAGTCTGTCTCCTGCTTTTTCTGTACTTTCACCAGACTGAGCTAATGAAGTGGATCCATTGATGCAAACAAAATTGCTGGAGAAATTCAGCAGGTTTAGTAGCATCTGTGAAGGGAGCAGGAGAGTTAGCTGTCAAAATGACTGTTCAGAACCGAAAGGGGTTTGAAAATAGGGTTTTTTAATGCTTTTG